CATACCCGGTCTTATTATTTTAGACCTAGTGATGTCATCACCGGGTCCCCGTGCTTCTCTCTGCGATGAGATTGAAGTGCCACAGCGCGGGTTTTTACTTACAGATATACATTTATGAAAATAGAAGACTCGTATGATATGTACAACGCGTTTCGGGGGCCCAGAAACCTCCCCCCTTCATCAGGGCTTTAAAGTCGAACTGAAAAAAAACTTCCCTTGTACTGGGGCTCTTCCCACCCCCTTTCCCCCAACGGCTGGGGTAGTTTGTTAGGGGTAGCTTTAAGGCTCTGATAAAGGGGAGGGCCTTGGCCTCCGAAATGTGTTAGCTCTTTCATCCAGTTCCCTGGTGTTCTGTTTAAAGGCCCTGATGAAGGTGACACGTTTTGGAGCCCCCGAAATGCGTTGGATCTTTCATCCAGTTTCCTGGGAGTTCCGCTTTCAGGCCCCTGGTGAAGTTGGTGCATTTTGGCCCCCGAAATGCGTTGGCTCTTCCGGTTCACTGGCGTTCAGCTTAAAGGCCCTGATGAAGGTGACGCATTTCGGGGCCCAAAAACGTGTCACCTTCATCAGGGCCTCTAAGCCGAATTCCAGGGAACTGGTAGAGCCAACGCATTTCGGGGGACCAAAACTCACTCCTTTTATCAGTGGCCTGAAAGCTGAACTAGGAACTGAATGAAAGAGCTAACACATTTCGGGGCCCCAAGCGTTTTAGCTCTTTCAGTTTCCGGGAGTTCAGCTTTCAGGCCCCTGATGAAAGGAGTGAGTTTTGGTCCCCGAAATGCGTTGGCTCTACCAGTTCCCTGTTGTTCAGCTTTAAGGGCCCTGATGAAGTCAGTGAGTTTTGGTCCCTGAAATGCGTTGGCTCTTTCCTCCAGTTCCTAGGAGTTCAGCTCTCAGGGCCCCCTGATGAAGCGGGTGAGTCCTTGCCTTCCCCCGAAACACGTCAGTGCTTTCATACAAGTTTTCCACTTGATTGTACAATAAATCTGTATCTGGACTAATAACCCGCGGTGTGGCCCTTCAAGGACAACATTGGGGACCCCTCGGCGCGTAGAAGAAATTCACCCGGAATCGGGACACCCTGCAATGTTATTGGATGAAGGCTCACGCAGGATGATCCCAACGCTGTTTATCTATTCCCCCGGGTTGTTCCAACATGGCCGACACTATGGGGCCGGGACCCCAACGCAGCCCTCGGGTCTCCTCATAGGGACGCTCATTCCCCCCCCCCGCGCGGGCAGTGTGGACTCTTGACTCCTCCCTTTTTTCCGTTTTGGAAAATCAGATTCTTCGGTTTTTATTTTCCGTTGCTGCTTCAGGCGGTTAATTCCTGTGACTGGTATGTGGAAATTCTGCCGACGCGTTTCCTGTCAGCGGCGTGGGGGGAAGATGAATGTTTCCGTTGCCGTGGAGATGTAACATAAACAAGAAGGTTATACAATGTATCCCTCGTTGCCGAGTAACCGGCAGTGGAAAATCGGGGGATATGCAAATCAGCAGCTCGGCCTCCCCACAGGGGTGACGTCATCCGACCAATGAGATCCCAGGAATGTGGATGCGCTCCCCGTGTCCTCTCTGATAGGGATGCGCTCCCCGTGTCCTCTCTGATAGGGATGCGCTCCCCGTGTCCTCTCTGATAGGGATGCGCTCCCCGTGTCCTCTCTGATAGGGATGCGCTCCCCGTGTCCTCTCTGATAGGGATGCGCTCCCCGTGTCCTCTCTGATGGTGACGCGCTCCCCGTGTCCTCTCTGATGGGGATGCGCTCCCCGTGTCCTCTCTGATGGGGATGCGCTCCCCGTGTCCTCTCTGATAGGGATGCGCTCCCCGTGTCCTCTCTGATAGGGATGCGCTCCCCGTGTCGATAGGCCACACTGTGTCCATAGGAACGCCCCACCACGTGGACCACTCGGTGGAAGTCAATGGGATTTTGATGCGCAGGAAGACCACGCTGGTTGACGCTGGCCCTTTAAAACGGCTGGTCATGTGACGCCCCGGGTCCCCTTGTTCTCCGGCTCCAGCAGTACTGAGGAGAGCCGTGCTGCTGTTGGGAGCGTTGTCACCGCTTTCTGCTGCACCCTCTAAACATGGCGGTACGTGCACTTTAAGGATCCGGCTTTATGTGAGAATGGCGCGGGTTCTGGGGTGCCGCCATCTTATCTGACATCAGCCAATGCCTCGTATTGCTCCGCAGCTAAACCGATCTCCTGTCTTCTTGCAGCGTGACCCCGGCCCCGGTCTCCAAGCCTCTGGTGATCCCCCTCATACAGAAGAACAGGTGGTCCCTACAAAGCAAGACCAAAGACCAGTCCGAAAATGGCGGCCCGCAGGCGGCGGCGGCGGTGGTGGTGGAGGAGGAAGAGGACGCCGTTCTCACGCAGGCTGTGCAGGAGCTGATCGCAGGTACTGACGTGACCTTTCACCTCTATTACTGACCTATCGGGGGGGGG